TTGTCAGCCTCTCATGATGCGCTGGGAAGTTGTACAGTTGTAAAACCCTCTTAGGAAATGTTACAAATAAATAGATTTAAATAGGAAATTATAAAGATAATTTTTTCACGCCTTAAATTCTATTCAATGAATAAATAAATATAATTTTCTCACACGTTAAATATTATTCAATGAATGATCAAACACTGTCGGAAGATAATTTCTTACACCGTCCACATTTGTGCAAATTAAAAATAAAATACATTTTTTAAAAAGTCAACTATTGTGCTCCATTATGATATCAGCTCTCACTTAGGCAATGCAATCGTCATCTGAAATGGTCAGAACTGTCTGTAGCTTCCAAAAATTTGTGCCAGTGGCCAGATACCTTAATTCCAGACAAAATTCCTGATCACCGGCGGCTTATTCCACCGTGAACCAAAAACCAAAACTGACATCTGGATCAAAAGCCAACAATATACAACATCTGGATCAGAAGCCAACAACCCAGAAAAGGAAATAGAAATTCTCTATTAAAAAAAAAAATGTGTTGTTTCTTTTTTTTAATTTTTAAATCACAATCCAGATAAGAGATCAAATCAAAGAAAAAAAAAATACATGTTTGCAGAACTACACTGTATATATTTATATATCTGAATGTAAAGACAAACAGTAATAAAATAAATACAATCAATTATTTATTTTTTTAAATCATTCTGTGGGGGGTTTTTAGATCCCTTTAAAATACCAATCAAAGTAGCAAATCATTTATGTAAATATATTGGAAGTGTTTATTGGGTGCTTACATTTCCAAGTTATATGTTAAAAAACAAACAAAATTAAAATAATAAATCTGCTTCTACACTAATAACCGATCCTTCCCGATGATCAATGTCTGGTCGTGTCATGGGTCCGCACCTCAAGCCTGTGTGTTGGAGGCTTTATATACCCAGACATCAGATATCATCTAAAAATAAACAAACAAACAGACTCATCCATTCTGGAAATGCCCTGCCAAACTTTCTGCTGCGGCGACTGCAGATTATTCCATCGCTTACATGTCTGGCCTGTCCATTGTAAATATTAAATTCCACCTCATTATTAAGAAAAATCCATACACAACGCCCCCCTCCCCCCCAAAAAAAACCAGACAAACTTTTCTATATTATGACTTAAATGATCATTGGATGAGATGAGTTCATTTGTTTATTTTTAGATGACATCCCTCACCATACACACAATAAATGCTCAGATTATGTTAGTAATAAAATAATATATTCCTATAAATGTTTTGGTTTTTATAGTCAACATGCACCAAAATAATACTTCATTGTCGAATGCACATTACAAAGGAACCCTTGCACCTATTCTGTGCAATGGTGGGGGGTGATTAACAAAATATTTTGGCTTTCTGTCGACTGTCTCAATCAATCCTCATTACCTGGCTTTATGTACCCAATGTAAATAT